TGACCCCCCCATCCCAAATACCTCTCCCAAAGACTTCACGAGTGCATAATCAGTTGACAGGGCTAAATAGTGTTTTTTGATTTATGTTTGTGGCCTGTTGAGTCTCACTTACAGGGTAGTTTCTAAGGGCCAATATGAGTGATTTAGTACCGGAGACTTGGATCATGTAGTCAACACATTTTTTGTCAATGCTATACATACAGTTTAAGTAGCTTATTTGTAATTTTGCGTTCTTTCCATTTTTACCTTTTCACAACCAGGCACAATTAAAATCTACAAATATTTGTTATTCATTAACATTAATACTGTTTTATCTATCATAAGATGTAAAAAAACACTTGCACCTAAATAGGTTACTGGGCTCAGCTGCGAAAGGGTTAAACTCTGGAGCCTGTAGTCATTTGCCTACCATACCTAATTATATAAATTGTCCTGTACAAACAAACAAAGGGGGCAGAAGGGGGTAGATGATTGAAATAATGCCATATTCTTTCTTGCATTGGAGATGAATTGAGTATTCTCTAGTGATAGGAAGAGTACTGTGTACAAATCACGTGGGGATGTTTATCATCAGCAGGGCCTAAGGAGCTTGTGAGCGTAGAGAGTAGAATAATTGTGGCAAAATACAGAACAATTCTTAAGAAAAACCTGATGGCAAAGATTTGTCTTCTGACAAGACAATGACCACAAAAATAAAGCAAAGTCTTCACAGGAATGACTTGCAGTGACACTAAACTCAGGAGTTAAATCTTAAAAATACATTCAAGTACCCGTACTATTAATAAAAATGTATCTTATTTGTGCATGACTCAGCTGTAGATCCTCAATCATCTCTGAATTGGTGCTGACACTGTCCTTCCTTCTGGAGGGTGGCTACTTTTGTTCCCCATGGTCCCTGTGTATGTGTTAAGTAGCCACCACTCCAAGCTCACTCCTGTGATAGACTACATATAGAAGTTGGACACAGTTGAAGGAGTATTTTCTTGGCCAGTACAACAGTACTGAAAATGTCAGTTAATTAGTTGGGAAAGTGCATATTCCATCAGAATCTCCCAACACAGGTCTTTGCTTCATCTCTTTAGCCACCTCTCGTCCCTGGCCTTTCCTGAACGGCTGGACACGAGTCTTCCAGGAGCGGGAGGGCGTCTTAAGACGTCCTGCCCCTCCCCCCGCTCATGCGCGGCGCTCAGCGTGCACATAAGTGGGGAAACTGTCAGCATGTAAACAGCCAGCGATGGCTGTTTACATTCAAGCGATCGGGTGTCTCTTGAGATGCCGGATCGCTTGCAGGAGCCGCCGCTGCCGGTCCCGAGATCTGCTGTGCCGACACGGCGACGTTCTCAGTGGAGATCAAAGGGAGTTCAGTACCCATCTCCCTTTAATCTCTTCTCCTGTCCCCGAATGCAGGAAGTGATGTATATTACATCACTTCCTGCATTCAGTGTCACTCTCCGGTACAGAACACCGCGAGAAGCTGGTGAAGCAGATCTCTGCTTCATCAGCTTCTCTGGGGGTCTCTGGGTGACATTAGGGGTCTTAGAAACCCCTGATGTCTCCATAAAGAGGACCTGTCATGTGAATTGGCTATCACGTAGGGGATTTCTTAGTCCCCTATGTGATAGCAATAAAGTTAAGTGTAAAAAGAAAAAAGTTAAAAAAAAGTAAAGCATAAAAAAACAAAGAAGCTAAAAAAAGTCACAAATTAAAAAAAAAAGTTAAATAACACAACTTTTAAAAGTCCCCCGCCCCCCCCACATACACATGCAAACATGCGTCGGGTGCGCCAACGTACAAAAATGATGATTCCGCCTATTGTGCCGCACATGTTTTATATATCGCCGCGAACGTCGGAATGAGAGCAATAATTTTAAGGCCATTGATTACTGATAACATTAAACTGATGAGTGGTAAAAGCTTTTAAAGCATCAGCTATGGCCAATTTTGGGCGTGGTCATTTTCTGCGATTTCGTGGGCTCGAGCAATATTAAAGCTTAACATGTTTGGTGTCTTTTTATCTGACATGACCCCGTCTTTTATATTTTACCAAAAAATTGGTGGGATAATATATGTTTCATAACATTTCATAGGGAAACATGTTTTTTTACAAAATGTATGGTACTGTTTTGTTATATAGTAAACGGTTTTTTTAGAGTTTAGATTTTTTAGATTTTTCTGGCTGAAGTGACTCATTAGGAAGTAAAGCCAGAATCAGGGATATATTACCAAAGTTCAGGACTTTAACAAGTCAGAAAAAGCATCTCCCATATTTCTATAACCACATGTTCACCTTGTTGTATATCCAAAGCCAAAACTTTTTTTGTTTTGTTTCAATAAATTATAGTATGGTTAACACTACTGTATTTTTGGCTGCCTGTGATCTAGTGGAGAAGTTTCCCTTAAAGTGACACTAAACTCATGAGTTAAACCTTAAATATGTAAAGTAGTCACTAATACAAGCTCGCGCCCGTGATGGATTACAATCTCATGTTTAGTTTGCTAATTTGTATAAGATTGTAGTCCATCACAGGAGCAAGCTTGGAGTGGTGGCTACTTTACCACACACATAGGGACCATGAGGAACAAAAGTAGTCACCTTTCAGAAGGAAAGACAGTGTCAGCACCAATTCAGAGAGGATTTGAGGATCTACAGCTGAGTGATACACAAATAAGATACATTTTTGTTAATAGTTAAAGTACATTTAAACTCGCCTTTTTTTGCATATATTTACTGCTAGCTAGTAGATATATGCAAAAACATTAAACAAAAAAAAAGTTACCAAACAGATTATTACTTACCTCTGTCTCCGCCGCTTGCTCCAATCTGAAGATCTGAAGATTCTCGAGCGGCCGTGAAGGATTAAGGGCAGGCGCATGTGCAGTACAGATCTTCGACCAGGAGAAGAGGAGAGACACAGGGTAAGTCAAGGCACACAGCCCTGCCGTGTGCACGCGCACAGACACCATGGGACACAGAAGACATAGCAGTCAGCGCTGGATCAGAGACCGGCACCAGCGCTGGAGGGACTCCTGAAAACTACTGGAAAGAAGATGATCAGATTAACAGGCATTATTTAAGTTAAGTCCTTATACCAGCATTGAAGTACTTGAACTAAAAATTTCGTTTCCTGAGTTTAGTATCACTTTACATTTTTGTCCCAGAGACAGAACAGGAAGTGAGAAGAATTCTCTCCAATGTGAGGGAAAGTCACTTCTTAAAAAGCTGTTACGGGAACATGTGTCCCCATTGAAACATTTTCCCTCTAATCCTGGTCAGTGACAATCGTACAATTTTGTATTTCCCATCACTTCATGTCCTAGAGTCCTACACTCTATACAAAACTCAAGAATTAAGGGTTGGAGTTATATAAACTTTGACTAAGTTTACGATAAAATTAAAAACATTTTGTGAGAAAACATTTTTTTAAAACAAAGACTTGGGAATCTTGGTAATCATATAACTAGGTTCACATGTTTTTATGAGAATGTAAAATAAAGTTCAGTCACAATCTAGTGACAGGATTTGGGACATATTTTTATATTGTAAAAAAACAAGACATCAATACATGTTAGTTTTTTCTGCAATATGAAGTAGCATTTTGTATGTCAAAACCCCCAGAAAAGTAAGCCAAACTGTAACAACAATTGCCATTAACTCCAAGCATACATTGCATTTTATTTGTCATGTCTAAAAATAACAATGAAAATATGTTCTGAGTAACAAACTCACTTTGATTAGTTAGGATTTTATTATGACACACATTACGTTGTTTTTGTACACAAACTTCCGGAACAAATAAGTATTGAGTGATAACTTTGAACATCTTACAGATTATTAAAAATCCTTCAATTTTACCTGCTTCTTTTTCTATTTAATGACATGGTTATGCAGATATTGCAACAGTTAGCCTAAATGTAAAGCAAGAATATTGTTTTGGTGCAATGTCTTATAAAAACAAACAAAAAATCTATTATTTAGCTAAGAAACCTGTGACATAATTTTAAAAAAGTCACTCCCCTGGACCCTGATTTAGGATTACACATGTGCCCCCTGACCTTTAGTACCTCTACCACCTTTAATGACTTAACTTGTCTGTTATGTTTGGTTTGCCTCATTTTCTGCAAAGCAATCATTGTCTTTAACTGTAGAGAACCCAGTGATTGTCTGTATGGGCAGAGCTATTCTTAGAGCAGATGCCAGAAACACATTAAGTACCAAAGGTGGATAGAGAAATTGTAACAACAGAGGATCACAGACTGTGTTCCTTGATTCATGGGGTCTGGGAGCAGTAACTGTCTTAGTGAGTCCTATTTATATACCAATGATTCATATTGTTGACATTTTGAGTAGCCATGCATTTTGAGTTATTTGTCCCAGCAAAGAACATTACCTATTATGCATACAATATTGTAAGCAATCTAGATGACAATACATTACCTGGATATTATACAGTATTAAAAGGAAGAGACAGGAAATTGAATACAGTTTATGATATCGCAAAAAACTTGAAATAAAAATAATGCCAACTTTGCACTGAAACGTTCATTACAAAACTAATCATTTATTTTATAAACGCTGGTTCTCATTCCTGCGTTAAAAGTGACTGATAAGATGAAGATGAAAGTTACAATAAAAAGGTAAACTAAACCAGTTGACTAGATATACCAAACTGTTTTAGACAATGCAGATCATGTTACTTCAACTCCTTGGGCTCTGGAGAGGAGATCCAGAAATATAGCTGGTTTACCTTTTAGACAGGAGTGAGACTCTCTGTATTAAATCATTAAAAACATGAAAAATGCTTAAGAGTTGTATCAGAAATTATCTGATGTGTTCAAATACTCTACAACTCCTAAAGTATATTTTTAATATGGTCCTTTATAAAATACTGGTTCATATCTAAAAGTTGAAAATCTCTAAGATTAGGAACCTCCACCAAGGTCAACTCATTTCCCTGGCATTACATAGCTTTTGTTAATGCAACCATTTGGTGCAGCTACTTTTACTCCTTTCTTACCATAGTTTTTCCTCTGTCTCCTTCCCAGTACAACCAGTACAATGAGAAAAGGTAGAGGGCAAAACATACCAAGAAATCATAATGATACATCAGACCAGCAAACACCACAAACATTATAAAACAAAAGACCTTGGAACTTGCATGGCTAATATTCAAGTCCTCTCTGGTCTCTGTATCAGTTGTGATTTCCTGGTCTGTATGCATTTCATCATCAGTAAAGGGATGGTAATAATACTGATGTGTGTCCTCTGGTTTCCCTTGCTCTTCTGTATCTGTGCTCTGACTTTCCTCTTCATCATCAGGCCCACTAATAAGAATAGATGGCCCCATAAATGTCTGCTCTGGACTATCTTGCTCAATGTCCACATCTTCTTCTGTGATTACTTTCAGCTCAAGGTCTACATATTCTATAACCTTCTTACCATTTGTTTCCTTAGTGAAGTCTTCCAACAATCTTACATCTGTGTCCTCCCTCAGTTCTGTAAAACTCTTCGAGTTACTGGGTTGAGTAACATGATTTAGATCTGCATTATGTATATCACTTTCACCAAGTACATCATTTAACCTATTCTCATATTCGTAGTTACCTAGTTCTTTGGGCATATATCCTGTGCCTTCTTTAGAAAGTGTTCTCAGATTACTTGTATCTATTTTTTCACCTTCAATATCATCAATTCCTTCCCTGTCACAAGGTACATGCATAGGTTTACTAGTATGATCTAAATCTCCTCTTTTAAGTTTAGACTTTGCACTACTATCTGTTAGCTGTGCTTCACTACCACTGTCACACAGATCTATATATGACCTTTTACTGTCATCTCTACCTTGAGAACATGTTTCACTTTGACCTTTTTCTTCTGTAATCTTTGCAATGATGACCTTGTTTCCCGGTGTCACTTCACTTGGAAATGGTCCCAGCATTTCATTCCACACATGTAATGTGCCAAGGGACACATTTTCAGCTGTACTGCATGCTATAGAAGGAGGACACTCAGGCAGTGATTCCGTTTCGCAGGAAGGTTTTGTCTCTGTAGTATCAAAAATTGTTCTGTCTGTTTGATCTGACGCTATTCCTTTATCTTCATATGAGGGATACGTAATATCATATGAGTCATTATTATCGGATAAAACCACATTTCTATCACGCATGCCATATTTATTGTCAGTTTCCTGAGCAGTGTGTCTAGAGTTAGGATTTTGCGTTGTATCAAAGTATTGTTTGGATATTTGTAAAGGCACACTTTGAAAGCCTGAAAGATCTGTAGTTTCAACAGTAACATACTTATTTTCTTCTAATAACACACTCATGGCATCTGTGGTTTCCGTATCTTGGGACAAGCCAGCAGTTACATTTTTGGTATGACTTGTTTCTTCATCTATCCCCTCCACCTTGCTCTCCTTAAAAAAGTGAACATCACCGGAAATAGCAGGACTTGAAGCTGATTGGTTTGCCTCTACATGTTCTGGAGGGTCAACACTACTAAAAGGTTCATATTGACACAACAAATCCTGATAGTCATCCAGCTGTGGAAATGTTATTGGGTATTGTATTCCTAAACCTTCTGTACCATCATATTCAGTGGGGACATTATTATCTTCTTGGCTGTTTTCAGTTTCAGTTTTTATGTTTTCACTATGTTCATATTGCATTTCTTTAGTATTATCTGTTGAAAAATATGCCATGTGAACTGGATTTTCACTATAACTTGGATTTGCGTTATGATCCAAAATTTCTGTTACCTTCATATTCTCATCTTGTACAAAAGGTGGAGCTTCAGATGTTTCTTGGCAAATGTCACTTGTGTCCCTTTTTAGCTCAGCTGGAAAGAATGCAGCTTCTTCAATTACTTTTGAATATTCATGTGATAATGCCTCTGCAGAATGGTGGCTGGTGTTTGAAAAATCCTCAGCTACCAATGAAGGGTTGGGCTCAGCCACTGGAGGATATTCCTCTTTATTATCAGGAGACTGAGACTGAGAATAATGGTCTTGTGTTTCAGAATGATATTTGATTTCATCATATTGTTCCTTTTCTGTTTGTAAATTAAACAAATCAGAAGTCTCAGTGTTGTACTGTTCATCAGAAGATGTGATTCTGGCATTCATGAGACGTTGACTTAACTGGAATGAAAACAGTAAAATAGTTGAAAAATATGTAATACTATATAATTTAAGGAGGTAAAATATTCTATTTTGGTTGTGCATACAAAAACTGCATTTCCAATAGACAAATGCAATGTTTTTTCTATATTTTCAAGCAGTTAGAGGACATAGTTTTAAGACTAGGAATGCAATGATTATTGAATCTCAATTCATATATTTTTACATATAGATGTTTTCAGTTACCTATGCATAACAAGCAGGTTAATTTGTGTCACCCTTTATCATACCATATCAACAATCCAAAAATCAAACATTTTAATACATACCAGGCACTTTGATTATTGACATTGGGACAAATAAGAGTGCAGCTGCTGAGGGTTGTGCCAAGTTCATGAACTTGATAACTGAGGAAATTGAATGCATCTTGCTTAATACTATGATTACAGCACTATTAAAATGGGTATATATCTAATTCTATGTTTGTGAGCATGAAGTATATTACACAAGCATGAAAATGACAAAAGTCTTTTAGATGATTTTATGATTTTAGACAGATGTCAAACCATTTGCCAGGGTTAAGTAAGAAGTGGACTCTTTTTAAAGACTGGATCCATTTTGTTGTTAGAGCTATCTTTTCAGATTTTACCTGTAGTACTAATACTGAAGGCATTTGAGGTATTTCCGTAAACTATAATAATGTTCTATCAGCATCTTTATGTTTAAATAGGTGGCCCTCATTTCCCATTTAAGACATTTTAAACAAAAGAAGACAAGGATTTCACTAGGCTAATTATTAGCCTCTACATTGAGCTTAGTTTACTTTGACCCAGATTTTGTAAATCAACTCCATTTGACCCAATTACCTGAATTAACATATTGTTATTTCTGAATAATAAAAATAACAATCACTGATTATGTTTGCTTCTATCCAGTATTAGTTGGTATCAGTATGTTATATACATAGAAATGGCATCAGGCATCAGGAGTGAAACCTCTAAACCCTCTTACATAGAAGATTTACCTCATGCTAATAATTGTCCAATTGTATAAGTGTGACTTTCATTACAATTCTGGGAAAATGAAAAACATGGTTATTGGTGTAAGTCAATCATTGGTTTGTTGAAGAAAATGCATAAATCCTAGATATGAATATCACCAATCCAGTCAAGCAGAAGTGTTAGTAGTGTTGGTACATTTAACCAAAAATAAGATTATTAATTTTTTTCCCCTCCATTATCCATAAAATAGTCTTTTGTAAATCAGAACAGAGTTTTCCTTAATCTTACCCCTTTATTAATTAAAGTGACTTGCGACAAGATATGGTATATAAAAAAAATCCTAATTATACTGAAGCCCCATTTGAAGATTTATGGGTGCACAGCAAAGTAGAAATTACTTCTTTAATAATAATCCAAGAAATGGGATAATGCTCTAAGAAATCTAGTAGAGATGTTGAAAGTAAACAATTAAACATTTACTACAGAGTGTAAAGATGACAATTTTTGCACAATATACTAGGCTTTCTAATACGTAAGCTCAGCACTACCTTACCTATACTTTCTGACAGATCATGAAGTGCTAAAGATGTTGCCATCTTTGCTAACAGAGGAGGAAGCTGGTGTGCTCCAACTCTGACTCTTCTAGATAGCTATTTAGCATGACAACAGATGTCTGGGACTGCACCTGAAGAAAATTTTAGCTTCATCTGCAGGCAAATATGAAATGTTAATATAAAACATTTTGTATTTAGCTAGTTAAATACTGAACATTGTTTTAAATATATTTAACAAACAGATCCACTTTAAATATTGTGTGTATTGAATAGAGTGTTGTAACCAAAGTGCACCTCAAGATACCCCCATATATACATCTTACTGTACATGCACCTTCACAATCACAAATCTCTACCACACCCTTGAATGTAGCTCTCCCTACATTCAATGGACAATACCTCTACTGTTCAGGAGTCAAGTCCAAGCTACTTTACTCAACCTGTCCCCATGCCATTGAATGTTTTATTATTGAACATCGAAGGCTTACATTTGCCGAATAAGTGCACCAAAGCCTTTTACCATTTCCACTCCCTACAGGCAGATATTGTATGTCTATAGGAGTTGCATTTTTCCACTTCCTCTGCCCAATGGATTATAGTTCCACTTACCACCAATTTTATACAGCAAATGATATCACTAAACAACAGTGAGTATTATTTGGCTTTAAGCAATCAGCATGATTAATTTGCTCCCCCTAGAAATCAGAGACCCAGCAGGCAGATACATACTTCTTCCTGGGCTCCTCCAAGATCAATAAATCACTATAGTCTCCTATTACGCACCTAATACAGTACAAACCCCTTTTTTCTCACCACTTCCAGGTAATTGCTGCCCATCAAAGGGGAACATGCAGGGACTCCAATCTAATTATTAATTCACACCTGGACAATTGGCCTCCCATTCTACCTACGACAGCCACACACATGCTATCTGCAAACTCTTAAACCAATATACTCTAGCCAACTCCTGGGGTTAAACAAAACCTTCTTTAACTGAATACACTTTCTACTTCCACCCACATAAACAATTCTCTAGCATAGACCATGTCTTTGTAAAGCCTTCCTCCTTACCTCTAATTTTCTCATCTCACCATCTCATAGCAGAAAAATAGCTTTGTAGAATAAAATATAGATCCTGTCTTTAAGCCAATTAAACTATGCGTAGGTAGAAACCATGTCCTCCCCAATCCCAATTGAAACATATGGGATTATTGTTAAGCACATGGCTAAGCTCTACAGTTCACATGCGGGTTTCCAAAATCATGGTGCTGACTGCCTATTCTCCCACCTTCACTTTCTACAAAACAAGTAAAACCTAACAAAAAACAAGACCTGATAGTTACATGGCCACCACCAGGCATTACACGGAAATTGGACAATTGATTCATATAGCTCTAGTGGGCTTCATCCCCAGATGACAACCAGAAAATAGTGTCTGCAAACACACCCTTTTGATCAGAACAGCAACAGCTAGGTGAATACTGTTCATGCTCTTCTCATAGATATACTGTACATAGGGCATTTGACTCTGTGTCCTGTCCATACCTATTTTATATACTAGAAAATTGGGGCTTTGACCATAATTTTTACAATGAATGGTAGCTATATACTCCTCACTCCACTTATATATTGTACTCAGGTTTGAAATTTGCTTCTTTCTAAATACAAAGAGGATGCAATTTATCCCCCCTGACATAGCTAAATATTACTTAGACTCTCAGTTAGCTAACCTAGCAAATATTACACAGCCTCTGAGACTCCACTGTGGATAGGAATAGAGTCTCTGGACACTGATCCTTAGGGGTTGATTTACTAACCTTATAAACACACCACGAACGTGTATACACCTCTGCAGTGTGTTCCCTCCCAGCATGATCTATGGGTGGAATCTAAACACCTTTGTAATGTGTACACACCCAGCAGGTGTGTTGTGCAAAGCCCTGAAGGAATTCCAAGGTGATGTTGGGTAAATTAGCTCTATGTTGTGTTGCTTGCGTTGATGAATGCAAGGAATGTAAATGCATGAGCTAACCATTTTTGTCTAAACTGTGAAGCAGCATTATATATGCATCATGTGCATGATTTTTACATATGTGGCATTAGTGGAAATATGCTTTTAGAGACTTTTTGGTTGATAAATACGTTTTGCTGTGTGAAAATCACACACACCTGGTGTGTGTGTGTGTTTAGGTTAGTAAATCACCCCCTTAGAGTTAACAATTTGCTGTGGCTACTACTGCAAGCTTGTCCTAACCTAATAAATTCAGTCATGGTCTACTGAAACTGTGGTACAACATAAAATTCTTGGGGGCACTTTGCCTCCTCCCACCTTCCCTTACAATCTATTACACACAACTCTACTTTCATCCAAGGATTTAAGTCTCCTCAGGTCTCCTATCAGTGGCCGTATTGAGGACTCAACCACCTCCATGAACTATACAGCAACTTAGGAATTATTCCTTTTGACACATATATCCTTCCTTATTCAAAAATATTACAATAAAAAAGGCTCTCAGTATCAAAAGGATAAAATCAATTTCCAAGGTTCACAAAGTATAAATGAGCAGTGTAACATCATAGAGATAAATACTGCATATGTAGGTGTTATATCCATCCAAAATGTTTCTTGTAGCAAATTCCACCTTTTCAAGGATGCATATGCAGTTTGAAAATAATATAAGTAGAAAAAAAGAGAAATACATGTAAAAAAAATAATATATATATATATATATATATATATATAAAACATAAAAATATATATATATATATATATAATGAGTGTGATAACCATTAGCAACATATACATACCTCTTTACATGAGCAAATCCTTGTCTGCATATTGTACCCTATCAAAGAAAAGAATGCTTCAAATTTGACCCCTCATTTGGAAATGTCTGCAGAAGGGAGACAAGGTAAGAGATATTAAAACTGTCCCAGTGAAAGCACTGGATCTTTGAAACTCCAAGATCGAAAATGGCCTAAAGATTGCCCAGAAAATCCTCTAAAGCAGTGGTTCTCAACTCGTGGGTCGCGACCCAAAAGTGGGTCGTGGCATCATGTCTGCATAGACCGGCCCATCTGCATTAGAGAGAACTAGAGGGGTTAATATGTGGTTCAGCCTGTGGAACCTCATAATGTCAAACTGTCCCCTCTCTCCCGGCCTCCCCTGGGCTCTCCGATAAAGTGGTATGGCCCGGGGAGAGAGGGGACTATTTCCTCACTTTCGGCTGGCGCATTAATATCAGGAGCCGCGGCGCCCGACAATTAAGTTAAAGTTCCGGCCCGGCCTGCACTGGAGAGTACAGCAGATATCAATCTGCCGCTGTATCTACTGTACTCTCCAGTCCAGATAGTTCAGTCACAGGTTGAGAACCACTGCTCTAAAGTATACTCACAATGCATCAGGAGAAGAATCCAGCTTGCAGGTAATACATAGGATGGAGGTCTGGCTCAGCACTTCCTGTTA